CATCGAGGTTCGAATCACGTTTCTTCGCAGTACGCGCTTTCTCTCGAATCGCGTTTCACTGCGTACGCGGCGAAGTCACTACTCACATCGCCGACTCTGAATCTCTCTCACGCATTTTCGACATGTGTAGTTCGGGAATCGAATTTTGGATCGTTTGCCGTCCAGGCCGACCAGGTCTCAATGCTTCGGGGTCAGTTGAGTTATTCCACATTAGTTTGTAGGGATAAAAACATCGAGGTTTTTTAATTGCTCCACACGAATCAAGACGTAAGACGTTATTGTATTGTAAGACGATATTCGAAATGCCGCCACGATTGTGAATTGCGAAGTAGAATGCGTGACGCGAGCCAAAAAGACATAGAGCAACTCTATATGCTTTATCCCTTGTGCTTATGTTTCCTTTTTTTCTTTCGTTATCTCACATTTTTTGACAGTCATGCTGAATAAGGGTAAACCTTGTCCTCAGCCAAGACTCGAACATCTTTCATTTCTTGTATGCTGAGTAATTGTGTTACCAATTACACTACCAGTGCACCATTTCACCCTAGCTTACCTTCTGATGGTATATTTACCGTTTCATATAGACACTTCCACGTCTAACGTGAAAACAGCAGCCAACATCGGCAAATAGTGGCAGTTTTTTCCTCTTTTTATTGGCTTTCTTACTCTTATTTATTTCTTGCTCTTGTTTCTTTTTGTTGCTCTCATCTAAATTTTGCATGTGTTGAGGCGCGAAAAGTTTCCTCGCATAGTTGCCAATGAGGTTTTTGATCTGGTGGCAGCAATTCTTTCTGGATTTTTTTATTTGCAAATCCAGTATCTCTTTGGGCAGAAAGCCTCGAAGTATAATATATTGTGATAGATTTCTCTGTAATGATGGGAAAATTATTGAGAGTGACTTGTTCAGGGAATTTGAGTGTGTAGTTTTCTTTTTGGAACCTTCATATACCTGTTAGAGAACTCGATTTAGTTTTCTTTTGATTCCTAGAATTTTGGCATTCTGTTTCAGAATTGGGAAAATATTGAAGAATACGTAGCTGATCAGGCTCGAGTTGGACCAGGCGAGCAGGGAAAGCCAGTCCAACTCCCGAAGGACGAACCTTGTCGAACGTGAAGCTTTAAGAATTTTAAGGAGTGCTGTACTTCCGGAGATTCGATTTTGGTCGATAATGTTTCCAGCTAGCTTTATATAAAGCGAATGGTTATAATGCGTATATCTCGGATCTGATTTCACTGAATCGATCTATGAAAGATATTCGTCATCCACAGTGCAAACAAATGCAGTATCATTCCAAACTTCCGATGGTTTCAGTAATTTTTCCTATGCATGAAGAGGTTCGTTTTTTGACATTCGAATAGTATCGTTGAAAGTGCCCATCTCTCGAAGATAATGTACATTGCAGCACAACTCCACTCTATTGCGCTCGGTCTACTCTATTATGAATAGGTCTCCGAAAGAGTTATTAAAGGAGATTATAATAGTGGACGACTTCAGTGAAAAAACCATTTTTGAAGAAACCTTTCGAAGATTTCCTGAGACACGAGAAAATTGATCACATTGTCAAAGTGCTCCGAACCAAGTAGGCTTTTTACATTTGGTGTTAAACGTGTGACGTTAAGGAGCCAGTTCTTGAAAGCGCTCTATTATGAGCAAATTATTGTGTATCAATTGTTGAAATCCTGGACCTGCTCCATAGGTATGTGTGTATGTGTAACACTTGTTAGAGGGGTGTGAGAGTGGTGTACGTGCGGATGTGAGGAACGAAAAGGGATCAAGGAGAGGAAGTGATAAGATTGAGTGAGTGTGTAAAAGGGGCCAACCAATTTTTAACAAAGGATTCCTCACTCTGGATCTGTGGCACACACACACCCACCAACTACACTGATGCCTTGTCCATAACCCCTAATCAGAGGAGTTTTTCTTCATCTAGCAATCGCAAGACATAGAGATTGATCTATATACTTCCTGACAGCGTGACGCAGTAACGCGTCCCACTTTGCGCACCTCGTGGATTGTGAACGCGTGACCGCTTCCACTTTGCGCACCTCGTGGGACATTGTGACGCGGTAACGCGTCCCACCCAAGTCTTCCCTTTTTCTTGCGCTTGTGCGACTTATTCCTAAGGTCTTTGTACTCATTCTATAGGTCATACATTAGCATACTTAAAAACCACATGGCTCACAGAAAGGTCAAAATATTCTTTAGTTTGGCAGACATTTTCCAGACCTTATGGATATGTCTGTTCGATTCATTCCTCGTTTTCTTTTCAATAACGTAGACATGTTGATAAAAAGGAATAACAGAAGTGAACACAAACCTATTTCGTATGGGAAGATATGTGTTTTTACTGAAACAACCACGTCCAAATTAATTTTGGAACCACTAAAGGAAATTAAGTAGAATTTCCCTTTTTAGCGTGCCTTACCCACGCTCTTGTTTCGGTCAAACTTCCATTAGCATACATTATAAGCTAGACAGATCGAACATCATTGAAAACATTTCATCGCATCTAAGTATTGCGGATTTACAACTTAAAATCCATGGATTTGGTGTGCGGCGGCTGCGCTCGCAAAATCGCTCTTGTCCCACGAGGTGCAAAAGCACAAAACGCGCGATGTCGTCAACGTGTTAATTGGGGAAGGGAAAAGAAGTCTTCAATGATAGTGCGAGGTCTTCTACAGAATTTGGTCGGGACAAGTTTGTAGATGCTGAGAAACGACGTATTTTGCTAAACTCCAGCACATGAATTTATGTTGTTATAAAGTAGCAATGCAGAAATGCTTGCTAAGCATGGCAAGTCTTGGGCGAGTGTGTTTAGATGTTCTGCTAAATTTCAGGAAAAGAGAAGGCCTGATTCGTGCACGTCAGCTTGGTGCGGAAAAAGCGACTGGAGAAATTCTTGTTTTCTTGGATTCCCACTCAGAAGCGAACTATAATTGGTTACCTCCACTAATCGATCCGATCGTTGAAGATTATAGGTTAGAAGTTCTATTGTTATTCTTACTATAATTCATCTATTGACATGCCATTATAAGTATACTTTGCTCACTAGTGAAAAGAAAAATCTCAGAAAAAAAGTCGAAGGTGGAACGTTTACATCGAACCGTTAAAAAAATTGTAGGCAGTTGAGAATTAAAAGCCGACCAGATGGTTATTAACCGTTAACCTAACAACTCGAACGCTTAACCGTTAACCTAACAACTCAAACAGAAGTATATAGTGGAGCTCGAAGTCCTTTTGAAAAGGGGAATGAGTCGATTTATCAACTGAAAGTGATAATAATGTCGCATATTTCGCACAAGTTTGCACGTGGCAGATATTGTGTCATATTCACGTACTAAAATTTGTGTTTAGAACGGTCGTATGTCCTTTTGTTGACGTGATCGATTGTGACACCTACGAAATCCGTCCTCAAGATGACGGAGCGCGAGGTGAGACTACTTTTGAACTCGTGGCTGTTCTGGGCTTCGAAGTACTACCTTTGCTATTCTAAGCTGACTGCAGAGCGTGGAGTGCTCTATAGTGCTGACTGTAACCTCAGAACATTTTCAACCTTTTTTGGATTAGGTTCGTTCGATTGGGCATTCAACTACAAACGCTTGCCGTTGACAAGGAAAGATCGTGAAAATCCCACGAAACCGTTCCCCAGTCCTGTGATGGCTGGTGGTTATTTTGCCATTTCGACAAAATGGTTCTGGGAACTCGGCGGTTATGATGATGGACTGGACATTTGGGGTGGCGAACAGTATGAGCTGAGTTTTAAGGTGAGGTGTTTCACAAATATCCAGTTTTTGCTTCTCCATCCTCAGTTCAATTTGAAGGTGTGGCAGTGTCATGGTCGCATGGTTGATGCGCCCTGCTCTCGTGTTGGACATATTTATCGTTGCAAATATTTGCCGTTCAAGAATGCCGGAGTAGGAGACTTCATTAGTAGAAATTATAGAAGAGTTGCTGAGGTAGGTTTCACTTTTATTACTTTGTTGTTTTAAGATATCGTGAATCTATGGTTCTGAATCAGTTGCGATACTTTTCAGGTGTGGATGGATGAATACAAGCACAACTTGTACAAGCATCGCGCAGGTGTTGGAACTGCAGACACGGGTAACAAAACCTTCGTTCCTTCCTTCAATAACGCTGCCTTATTGTTGTTCTTTAGGTGATATATCTCGCCAAAAAGCGGTTCGCGAGCGGCTTAAGTGCAAATCATTCGACTGGTTCATGAAAGAAGTGGCGTTCGATCAGGACAAATATTATCCAGCTGTGGAGCCAAAGCCATCAACGAGCGGTCAGTTTTTGTAATACAAGAAGACGTGTACACAATACTTCAACTGTAAAACTATCTGGGAAAAGGTCTTTTTCGGTACAATCTAAGATCCATTGAAGGCAGCTGGCAGAGCCTAGCAGGTGTTGAAGAAAAGGGAAAATGGGAGGTTAAAGGACTGTGATAGTGTACTT